CTCTCTCTCTCTCTCTCTCTCTCTCTCTCTCTCTCTCTCTCTCTCAATACTATGCTGTTGTCAATATTTTGCAAGAATGTTCTTTTTAGAAAAAAAGCACTAAATATACCTTGAGAACTTAAGCTTTAATTACTTTTAAATTAATAACTTAAATAAAATTGGTCATATTTCTGATATAGATTTAAATCTGTCTATCTATGTAACTAATATACACACCAAAACAGTTTGAATATTAAGTGACATACAGAAAATTTAAGATAGGGCCCATAGGGATATCAGTGATTCACTTTGTAAGGTTTTAATCGTTTGAGTCTTCCACCACAGCAACCTGACTTCCAAGAACTGTGTCACCACAACTTTTCTAAAGCAAATGACTGGATCACAGGTGGAATTTCTGTAGGGCATACAGAATTTAAAGAGGTTTCTTTTAAATGACCTAGTCATACACAAACATAGCTTCTTTAGTCCATTATATAACCAGTATAAGTTACCTGTTCCTGGGTAAATAGGCAGTGTTGTTCTACCTTTGTTAAAACTAAGCAAGTAGTTCTTTAACTTATTTCATATTTCACTCATGAAATGTTTACTCTTCAAGACGTGTCTGCTATGTACTGCATAGTACAGTCTATACAGATAGATGTTAATTAATTGCATATTGATTGGTTTCACGTGCATGTACATGTAGTTATTTGCCTCTAGTCTGAGGACAGCCATGTATTCAGCTACCTGAAAACTGAAGGCAACGTGGCTCTGTGTTTATTTAGATATAATCAACCAGGGACACAGGTAGATATGTGACCTGAAGCCGGTCAGATTATTCAGGCCCGTAGCTAGGGGGGTACAGGGGTTTGAAAGAACCCACCTATTTGCCAAGAAAATGTCCCCTCTGGATGTCATTGCATCTAGGTACACAAGGGTTTCATAGTAAAAGGTCCACTTTTTTTGAAAAAGAAGCCCCTTTTGAAATTGCTGGCTACGGGCCTGCTACTTCACTTTCAGCTGCCTTAATTGCATTCCTCTGTTTATTGAGATCGGTTAAAAAATGTGTGAGCAAATCTTTTGTTGCTAACGGTGGGTTGCTTAGTCTATTGACGTATATTGTGTCATTCTGCTCAGCTTTTGTTCATGTGCATAATACATATTGTATGTCTACTTAGAGGGGGGTTAACAGTGAAATGGTGTTGAGTTCATGTTTTCTTAAAGCCACCAAAGGGTTTCTTTTCATGGAATGAATCTAGTATTCACATTTGTATGTACATGTTTAAGGTGTCACTAAGTAAAAAATATTGTCAAATATTACATCAGTTGACTAATAGACCAGGTGATTTTTTGACAAATTTTAATTTGACATTTCAGGTGTATCTTTTATCTGCCTAATTTTAATATAACACTAGTACTAGTGCATGTTATGCTTGAAAGCAAAGTTGAAACCAATCTGGCAGTACATATATGTATATATAATAAGAGAAGCACTTTTATATCCTCTATCTCTCTCTCCTCCTCTTCCCCCCCCCTCCCAAGTTAAACATAGACTGAGAACAGGTAATTTATATTGAACTGTTCACCATGTGTTACCTGGCCTGTGCACTCATTGAACTCAGGTGCTCTATTTAGACTCATGCTGTCATTGATTGACTGATAAAAGAAAAGTCTCTTTTTACAAATTAATTTTGTAAAAATGTTATTGTCCTCCGATCAATCCCCTGAGTATTTACATGTAATGACTGCACATTATGTTCTAGTTCTTTACCCTTTAGTTTAACTGTTGCTGTGACTCCAAATGTAAACAAGTTTTGTAACCTGCCACAATACCAGTGGGTTATATAAACTTAAATAAGAACAGTAATTGTATGTTAAAGACAACAGGTGTGCAATTAGCACAAGAATAACACACCTGTAAATATGCAGGTAATAAGCTGAATTCTATATATTTAATTGATTTGTCACTCCAAGGAAACAAAAATTAATCAAATAGATTAGTAAAAAATATTGAGAATTAGGGATTATAGTCATTATTGGTTTCTGTCAATTACTCTTCACTGAACTATGAAGTGGAGCTATGCTCAGTGTCAGCACCACTCCTATGGTTAATTCTATTGATTTGTGGACTTTGTCAATAGTGCCACCATGTTCTATTGATACAAGCTGAAGTTTTGGTTTTCTCAGAATTGTAGAGAGTAAGGTGTGTTCAGAAGTGACCTTTACATTATTAGCAATACACAGAATTAGTCACAGATTGATTTTAAAGAAGACCCCACCAGGACCTGTACCAGGGCCTTATATCCATGATGTCATGTCCATCTTCAAGAACATATTTAAATTTACTTGTGTTCTTTTTCTTAACAGCCACAGTATCAATACAAATGAAGGTTACAATGTATAAAGCATTTTGTGACTGTTGAAAAAATGCTACAAAAGGGGCTTCCATTTTTCTTCAGACAGAATCATGATAATTTTGCCAGGAGAAAACACTACTGAAGCCCATTACTAAGTTATTATCATTATCCTTAACGACCAATTAAAAAGTTGATTTAAACATGACAAAGAAATTAGCTTTGCCCAATTTTGGTGACTTCTTCCCAGTTTAGACAGGGGTTAAGTCGATGAAAAATGCTTTGGAGCAAAATCCAGACAATTTTATGTAAATATATTCATTAAGAACACTTACACTGTGAGTTTATAACCTGTACTTTTTTTAAAGAACAAATTAATGTTCAACAAGTCGAACTAAATGTATTTATTTTTCATGTTAAAAATTAACTGAACACCCATGTCTTGAGTTAAAACCATGAAATCAAAGTTTGATAACAAAATTATCTAACAGACTTATTGATATGTTTTTTTTAATGTGAAATGAAAAAGTGTGTTTTTACAGTTTGGACTGATGATGAGATGGATAAAGATTCTTTTGGAAATTAAAAATTGCAATTTTTTTTTGGGAGGGGGGGATAAAAGAAAAAAGTATTATTCAGAATGCATTGATACCCATTTTGATATGCTTCATTCTAGATTTATGCTTACTTGTAGTATGACATTTGTTATCATTATATATTTAATTTAGACATCAGTTGGTAGTGTTTATTTGTTACCAGAATTTTTAAAAGATTAAAATATTTTAATAATAAATATCTTGCTAATCTAAAATTGATTATTAAAATGTTGGAACTATTTTCTTTCACATCAGTGAACTTACAGTATGTGGAATTCCTTAGTTTCAGTAAAAGAGCACATGAATTAGGATGTTTTTGTAAACATAAGATTAGTTTTGTTTAGTCTAGTCTAGTTATCTGATACATCTTATACATAGAGATTAAATGATTTCAGTTACATTCTTAGAAAAGATTGAAGGAGCCTGGAGGACTCTGCCTAATTTTTTTTCCAAATGTGTACAAATTTATGGGATCAGCTGCAGTATATTTGGGATATTTTCCTTTTACTTTTTTGATAATGATGTATTTAGGTACTAACTTTTGCAGAATTTTTTTTCTTAAAGGAAAAGATATAAGATAAGACAATACCTTAATTCTTTGTACGTGTTTTTTCCCCGATAGATTAGAGATAATTTGTAACTTTTGATTCACTTTGATAAGAAAGTTTGCTCAAGGTATCGGTGTGTGTGAGAATCTGATAATCCTGCTGATTACTGCCTGATTGAAGACGGAGCTCGTCAGTGAGATCTGTGGACAGTAGATACCTTATCCTGTATGTTGACTTTGTGTTCATTGATACCAATGTTATAGCAACAAGATTGTCACAGTGGTGAGCACCTTACTTGTATCTGAAGACTAGCACATTCAAATAGATAGCCAGAAAATGAAAGGATATACCCACAGCTAAATTGTAAATACTAAGATTTTTGAGATATTTTGAATATTGCAAAATGTATACCAGTGCTGCTGTTTTATGAAACATGAAAAAATGCTGAAATTGAGTTTTTTTTTTCAGCCATTTTACACTTATAAATAAGGATAAAGTCATATAAAACCATTTCACCTTTTTAGTTTAATTTCCAATGGTTATGATACTGACGAAATATGGAAATTATTTAGCATATGTGCATATGAATTTTTAAGAGCAACTTATTTTGTTAAAATAAATGATTTAGCATTGTGTTTTAGAGAGAAAAGAATGCCAACTCCAAGCTGGTGATATCCATGAGGGGTAATGCAACCACCATAACAAACCCTCAAAATGGAGAAACTAAGACATTCGCCTTTGACCATTCCTACTGGTCACATGACGGGTTCAAAGAAAATGAGACAGGTGTTTTCATTAAGGAGAAGGAAAGTTACGCAGATCAGGTAAATTTATTGAAATAATAAATGATCTAATATTGTACGTGATATGACATAATATTCAGCTTACATTAAACAGTTTGGCATGTCTTCTACAGTGTATGTACCTACTGTACAAGTTGATACAGTCTGCAGTAAATTTTATATGCCTTTGTTTGACTTCATTGATGAACTTTTCTAATACATGTATTTCATCATTTAATTTACAAAAGATATTTGGTTGGTTTTTCATTAATACCCTAATTCACACACAAATGGTGGCAATGAAGTGAGAAAACATCACGAAAATGTTATTGGAGAAAACTTTACAGTGAATCCTTTATCCTGTGTGATGTTTGAGTTTCATATATTCTTGCCTCTTCAGACAGTAGGATATACAAACAAACAGTTTACTTAGCTCTCAGATAACATGTAGCTTATGTCTGCCGTGTAGAAAAAAGATTACAGCACTAGAATAAGTAAAGAGACACATTGTCATATGATATATACTTTTAAAGTTTACATATGTAGAACTATAGAAAATTAGGAAAGAAAAATGAAGAAAAATTCAGTTCAATATTTTGTTTAACTTGCCATTTTGAAAATGAAAATTTTATTAATGAAAGGCTGCAATACAGCAAATCAGTCATTCCAGATGCAATTCATCTTGCTGACATTCATTGTTGAAATTCTATAAATTGAAGTATGTAACAATCTTTTTAAAAGACTAATATTGAAGAGTATTTGTCACTAGCTTGTGGCCTTTATTTTTACATGTTTGCAGATTTAAATTTCTAATTCTTTCTATAATATAGATCACCATGTCTAACAGAGCAACAAATGGAAAAATGAGGTGCCGTGCCATACAAAATGTCTGCTGTTAACCTCTGATAAGAGAGAAATGTATAAGGCAGCAGTTTTTATAAAACTATTATTTTGTGTTACAGCGACAGGTCTACAATGACCTGGGTCAAGGGGTGCTGGACAACGCCTGGCAGGGCTACAATGCCGCCCTCTTTGCTTATGGACAGACTGGCTCGGGGAAATCCTACTCCATGGTGGGGTATGGCCCTAACAAGGGAATCGTGCCCATTACATGTGATGAACTTTTCAAGGCAATTGATAAAAATACTGATAAGAAAAAACAGATGCAGGTAATTTGGGGCTTTATTATTGATTGTTTGATTTAACTTAATATTTTTTCTTTTATAAGATGGTTTAAAGGAAAAAGCAGCTAGAGTTGATATTTTTGCATGTTTTGTGTTAGGAAAAGATCAAAATAAATATGTGGAATTAAGTATCTGCATAGGTAATCCTTATTATTCAAAGAAAAAAGCATACTTTATAAAATTATGAAATTCAATTGAAACAGAAACCCAGTCCTGCAATAAAGATGTGTTATGACAGAGTTATCATTGATCTTCCCAGTTTGACAGCAGTCCTGTGATGGCATCGCAGCTAGAAATACCACTGCCACTAGATTGGAAACCCCATTAATATTTCATTGACACCAATTGATTTATGTCCAAAAGCAAGTTGAAGCCAGCCCCAGGCACAGAATTATTGAGATAAATCAGAAAACAACTACTTCATTTGTGAGCAGGAGACATTAAAGGCTGGGTGATGATTTATCTATTTACCTGTCAGTGTCAGGTGGATATAACTATCATATAACACCTGTTCTGAACATGTGAATGTTCAGTAATGTGCATTAATTGTTACTTTTACTTACTGTTTTGTTGACATTTCTCTTCAAAAAGAAAGCAAGGCGGGGCCACATAAATGCTCTGCCTTTGGTGTTCCACCTCACTGAATGATTTATGAGGCCTCTTACACAATACAGAGATTACCTGAGTACATGCCTTAAATCAAGTGCACTTGAGCGTTTCTTATTTCCTTTAACCTGTAGAATAGGTCTAAATAGTGCAGGAGTACTCTCTGCTTTGAACTAAAAATAGATACACTTGAAATCATAAATGTTTGAATCAAGAGTCTGAAATTGACAAAACCCCCACTGATCCAGGCAACCCTATATACCTGTGAACAATAACACCCACATGTACATACATACATTTTCATGTGTTCGCCCTCTCTTAAAATAATTCCCTTGACGTATTGCTCTATAAAGGGCCATTCCAAATATGATTATTTCTTCTGTGACAGTATATTTTCATATCCCAAAAAAGAGGAAAAGAACATCAATGCGACTAACTTTTATAGATCTGATTAAAGTGGAAATGTTTTATACTCAGTGAAGAGATATACATGTAGTCTGGTATTACACAGGGGAAATAATAAACATGCTTTACACCATATTTATAGAGGGAGAAAATACCAGAATACAGTAGCTGTCTTTCTTGACAGTTGCTACCTAAGTTTTTTTTCTTTTTTGTTGATGTGCATGTTTACATTCCATGCATAAAGTAGAGATGTAAAATGTAATGCACTGCCATATATTATATAAGGTTTACAAGTTGTCAGGTACACATTCACACCTCTACCCTGTTTCCTGAAGGTTGCTATGGAAACAGCAACAGTTGACATCATTCTGTGGAAAATATTGCTAATAAAATAATGCCACACTGGTGGTTATAGTTCTACAGTATATAGACTGTATAGATAGGAGCCTGAAGGAGGTTTACTATCTTGCACTTTCTTGCTTAAGTCAAGTGGCTGAGTGTTGACTGGTCATAAAACACAAGTGTTTATTGCTTCCTTATTCCACTCATCTCATGTTGTAATTGACTCTTGCTAATCATAATTCCTGCATAATAATGCTTTCATATATGGCTATGGAACTTGCAATGTAAAAACTTATAGGCAAAGAAAAACAAAAAAAAAAAAAAAAAGAATTAAAAAAAACTTAGTATTATTAATTTTTTATCATATACCTTTTTGAGTTTACTCAGTTATGTGGCATAGGAAACATAAACTTTGGAATTTACCTGTAGAATTTTTATCAATATACATCGATATATCATCAACATTTCAATATCCTCATATTTCAATTCAATATATTAACTGACTTATAAATTTTAAAGGACTTTATTAATTGCTGCAAATGTCTTAAATTCATAGAAATTCAATTTGAATATTTTGATTTCTATCTGGACTTGGATTGTTTATTGCATGACGTGACTGCCATAGATGAAATTTGTACTTCAGATTGAAGGATTACACAGTAATCATAGAATTGATGTGATAGTGCACTTTATCTAAAATTTTCTTGTCTTTCATGTGTTCACTCAGTGTTGCCATATAATTCCAGGTGACGTTCAGTATGTTAGAGATATATAATGAACAGGTCCGTGATCTCCTGACTCCTGCCAAACAGCAGCAAAAGGGGGGCCTCAAAGTTCGCCAGCACCCCAAATCTGGCTTCTATGTGGATGGACTGAAGGTACTATATAACTATAGTGTAGCATGTTTAAAACAATCTCATTCCATACTATTTGTTGTTTGTGGTAAAAATATTTCTGCTAATTTAATCAAATATTTATATAAAAAAGAAAAAAAACTTTTATGTTTATTAAGTGCATTTTAAGCCAAGAAAAATTTGAAAGCAAACTTGAGATGTGTTTACAGATGTCATATGAATGTCCACTGATATGCATATTTTCCTGCCACCTTTAATTATTATAATTAATAATTAAGTTTACATCACCAAATATATGAGTGGTGCCGGTAATTCTTTCAATCCTCTTAAGTTCAACCTGATAACTTGCACTGGGGGCCTCAAGTTTGTACCACAACATAAAACATAATTTTTAAACATAACAAATAATTTTCCTCAAAATTCAAGATATGTGGAAAAAATAACATGTATGTCGATGATTTCAGTCGGTGCCAGTCCGCAGTTACAATGAGATTGAGCGCCTGATGGATCAGGGAACTCTGAGTAGGACAACTGCCGCCACTAACATGAATGCCACCAGCAGCAGATCCCATATGGTCATCACCATTAGGTTCAAACAGGTGGACTGTCTCTCCATAATTCAGCATAGTTTATGTCATTCATTGTTTACAATTAATATATTTTTATTTATTTAATAATAAAGCAATCAGTGATGTGTTGATTTTACAAATTCAGTAACATAATTTTATAATTTTTGAAAAAGACAATTTGTTGATACCAAAATTAGTTGTGTTGTATAAGAGAAAGAATAATAAAAAAGTGTTTGTTGCTGTTGTGAACCTTGTAATTTAAAATAAACATGCTTGAAAATTTTGTATTGACATTTGCAGACAAAATGAATTTTTATTATTGACAGAATTGCAGTATATGTTAAGAGTAAATCTTCCCATTCTGACTGTGGTATTAACTTGTGTTTTCAGTTGTATATGAACGAACTGGGGGAGAGCACCACTAAGACCAGTGAGGTGAGTCTTGTCGACCTGGCAGGCAGCGAGAGAGCCGACTCCACTGGGGCTGAGGGAGACAGATTGAAAGAGGGCGCTGCAATCAACCAGAGTCTGTCCACGCTGGGGAATGTTATCAGGTACTGGGTTCAGATTGAATGTAATTTGAAAGCTATTTTCATAAGTCTTAGAATAGGTTTTTCAGCTTTATCAGACAGGAGGATGTTTTTTTCTGTGGAAGCTGATGCAAAGCAGATCCAGTATGTTACATTGTCATTTCTGTTCTTGAATTTCTGTTCTAAAAGCTGAATTTAAAAGCCGAAAAGCTGAATGTCAACTGAATATTCTGCAAAATGAATTTCCCATTCTTTTTTTTTTACACTTCGTACATTATTTGCTTATTAGTAAGGTAGTCATTTTGTAATCTTTATAAAAATTGTCCAGTGCCCTAGCTGACCTGGCCATGGGGAAGAAGAAAGTAATGGTGCCGTACAGAGACTCTGTCCTCACCAAACTTCTCCAGTCAGCTCTGGGAGGTAACAGCAGGACCATCATGGTAGGCTAACACTCAACTACACAGATTATACAATGTCATATTATTTATGGCAAATATCATTCTGATTTTGATTATATTTTTAAGGTGATTGCCTGTGATAAAGTGTAGCTTCAATATATAATGCCGTATGTTTTTCTGTGTCTATTTAAGTTAGTATGTTTACTTAATAAATTGCAAATGTGGGAATGATTATTCTGAACATTTGATTATTGTCACATGTGAGAGTCTCCAGTTATATGTCAAAAATATTTTATAACAGTTGCTTTAATTGTGATAGAAAAAAGCTGCAGTTTATATAATGTTTTGTGTATAATTCTCAGTCTAAATTAAAATCCAGGTAGCTTTGGATATCTTAATTGGCAATAATTGTTTTTGCAGTCTGAACAAGGCTTAGTTCATTAGAATGAAAAAGTTGACAAAATCTTTTGGCAATAATGATGAACCAATTGTGAAAGGTGATAATTAATATATGTATCATTTTTTGTTCAGATAGCAGCCCTGAGCCCAGCAGCTATTAACTATGATGAAACTTTATCAACACTTAGATATGCTGACAGGTGGGTTAACTTCTAAAATTAGGATTATTTTTATGAAAGAAAATATATCAACTAAGACACCAGTGCAATGACATACATGTGTGTTTGAGTGTCCTGTGTCCTGTGTCAAAATGAGTTGTATTTTTTTATTATTTTTTTTTTTTGTGAAAAATGGATTTTTTATCTCCCTCTCCTCTCAGTCAACCCAATGTGAGAAATGGCATAGAGCACATGCCAAATTTTTATTCAGAGTAGACCTTTTCCAGCCATAAGCTTGGTTCTTTTTAATACCCCCATCCCATCCCTCAGCCCACTAGCATGTATTTGACTGTCAAGCAACAAGAAGTTTAATTTGGCTATGCTCATAATCCAAATATTGCACTTTTTATCACCAATAAATATCAATGAATAATTTCTAGAGCCAAGAAGATCCAGAACAAAGCTGTGATCAACGAAAGTCCCACAGAGAGGCTGATCCGAGAGCTCAAGGAGGAAAACAACAAGCTGTTAGCCATGTTGAAGGCACAGGGAACAGGAGTCAAGGCTGTTGTGAAAACAGAAGGTAAAAGACACTCCAGGATTATCAACTATTGTGGACTGGATTCTTTATACTATTTTAATAATATTTTAAATTATTTTTCATTCAATGTTATTTTTAATTAATATGTTAAATATTAGTAAGTTGAAATTAAGCCATCTATTTATGATTTATCAACTGAATATTGTTCATCATATATTACTGTACAGAGGTAAATTCAAACACTACCATAAGATGAATTATAATTAATACATTTTATTTATATATGACCAATGTATGAAGTACAAAACTCTGCATTTGCTGTATGATGATCTTATCGATTACAAAAAACATATGTGTCTCTTTGTATTGCAGAACTTGAACGTCTGCTACAAGAGAATGAGCGTCAAATGCAGGAAGCTCAGTTGTCATGGGAACAAAGATTAGAAGAAGCGAGGTAATTTTAGAGCATATTAAACATGTTACAACTAACAAGGTGAAAAACAGTTAATTGTGCAAGTCATATTTTTCAAGCCTTAACATGCCATGTGAAAAGGCTTCCTGGAAAATTGACTCAGAGGAGAAAAATTTCACAAATAATTTTGATTAGATAATATATTAATTATCAACATTTTGCCAGAAAATATAGTGTTCAATTATAGCAATGTGCAATAATAATAGAACCAATTAAAGTTTTTTTTCTTAATGCCACTGTACATGCATGCGCTGGCGAACGTACAGTCACACACACACACACACACACACACACACACCAAATTAAGAGATAATATTTATGAATTTGTTAAAACAAATCCCCTACAGGAAAGAATGGGAGAAGTCTCACGCCCAGGAGCTCCATCCTGAAGACCTTACCTGGCAGCACTTCCCATACCTGAGGAATGTCAATGAAGACCCTCACCTGTCAGGAGTGGTCAAATATGCTCTGCAAAACAGTGAGTTCTGGACAAATAAAGTATTTTTTGTGGCTTGTGAATGTGTGGTTTGATTTCAGCAATCTTAACGCAAGGAACTTCATTATAAAGTTATCACGTTCTCTATATGGTTGACAGTACTACACAGATTGACTTATATCAGAATATTGTAAGCTTATGATTTTTGTAAAGAGCTGAAAGTCATACATTTTAATTACATTTTTCCTTCTTTGTGTTCTTCAGAAGAGTATGTCATTGGCAAGCCAGGGAATGGAGTCAGTATAGAGCTACATGGATTAGGGTAAACTCTTGAAGATATTACGATAATTTATATTATTTGCTCCATCAAGCAGGGAATGCTCATATCTGATTCTCATTAAGAGGGGAGCAGAGAACAGATAAGCTTAATTATGTTCTTCAGCATGGTTGAACAATGTTTATAATTTGAGTATAGATTATTATGATAATAATAATTTTATTCGGCTAATAAAATTTTAATTCAATGTTTAAAACTGATAAGTACTTTTATTTGATTTTAAGCAGTATCAGTTCATGAGATGTTGATTTTTTCACAATATTCAGGATCCAGCCTCATCATGCCGTAATGTGCAATACTGGACAAAAGGTGTTGATAAGGCCTGCTGTCCAGCAAGCTAAATTATTGGTCAATGGTGTTCCTCTGCAAAAGGAGAGAACTCTGACGCATCTGGTAAGTGGCTTTTTGCACTCTAGTGGCTGTTGTAATTCAATTTTTTTTTTGCTTATGGATAGCTTGAGAGTTGTTAATAAAACCATTCAGTGACTTCCTGCAATATTTTTAATAAGCACTACTAAATGAAATTTTGTGACATTTTGAAGTATTTATCAGATTAACTTTCAGCTTTATTACATAATGTAAATAAAAGGTCAGATACTTATATATTAGAGTGTTCTTTTTCTTGAAATATTGTTGTTAGAGAGGAAAGAGGACTAATATGATTATTTATTTTTCTTTTAATAAAGGACCGCATAATGCTTGGCTCCAGCAGTCTGTTCCTTTACGTCGGCTTTCCCAGCGAACGCGCACAGCATGAGAACCTGGAGCAGTATGACTTCGAGTTCTTTCAGACAGAGTTTGCAGAAGAGTCTGGATTTCATACGAACAGTTTGCTGACCCCCAGGGAAGGTCACCACGACCCCAATGAGGACAAGTCTGCAATGATGATGGTGCTACATGAATATATGAACCTACTGCCAAAAATTGAGGAGGCAAAAGTGATGAGTCAGGAAATGCAGAAGGTTTATATTGTACTTTTTCAATTTTTCCATCTTTAGTTATTGATTATTCTTTTGAATTCAAATATCTGACTTTTTTTTTACCAAAATGCCTGTGTTCCATTGAAATTTTGAGGCCTAAGCAATAATGAAGTTGCTTATTTATTGATTTTTTATTAAATTTTTAACTGATTTTAATTTATTTTGCCAAAAAAAGAATAATGTGAAATCCAGAGGTAGATATAATTGCCGTTCATCTGTTGTGATAACTTAAATATGAAATATGATATATGTACAGTTAAACATATCTCCATTGGGAATACTGTTCAGGGTGTCTCCTTCGAACCAGAGGTGAAAAATCTAGCAGCACATGATGAAGTTGGGAGAGATATGAAGAAAGAAGTTATTGTTAAAGTTACCAATGAGAAAACCAAGCAGGTAAATTTCACTTATATAACTCATAAGCATGCTAAATTAAAACATATATTGAAGAGGTAACACAATTATATGATTTTGAATATAAGTTAATGAATCAAATTTTCTTGTTGCATGTTTTAATCTCTTGTCATCAGCATTGCTAATAATGATTTGACACAGCAAAGACTGAGGTATTTACAAAGAAGGCATATTGCTTTTTTATTAAGTTCAAAAAATTTTCTGGGGGGAGGGGGGGGGTTGCAGTTTTCCTACTTATATGCTCCCTAGACCCTTAGATCAGAAGGCCAAAGAGCCAATCCAATCTACTTTTTCTTAAAAGCAAAACCCCTTCCTGATCAGTGCATTGCACCAGGCGACAGAGAACATTGTAATCCCTAGCCCCAATTCTCATATTTTAGGTGTGGGTTTGGTCCAAGGCAAAGTTTATCAACAGGAAGTTTCTGATAGAAGACATGTATACCAAATGGTGTAATGGAGAGAGTATTGCTATAGACAGGCATCATGACCCATTCTGGGACCCTGTTGAAGATGTATTTCTGGGGAGGTAGGAGTGGCTGCATCTTTTAAAATTTAAATTTTTACATTTCTTATTACACTTTAGGCGGTCTAATCTTAAGAGCTATAAAATACATATATTTTACTATTTTACACTCAGTGTGATGTTTTAGAATCATCATTAGATATTAAACCCTTGATTATTTTGTCTCAATATAGTATTATGTGATGGTTGAATTTAAAATTGTTTTCACAAATAGTATAATTATTGTTTTTGAATTTTAAAAAGCTGTAACATTTTAAAAACTAAATTTTTGCTGGCTAACTATATAGTCACAAAAGTAGTATTGATCACCAACTTGACTGGTATTGATGATGACGTATCTCAAATGTGCCCAGCTGTCACCTGTGGCTGCAGAGCCTGGCCTATAAGATAGAAACTAATGACCAACTGGACATCATTGACCATCACGGGCGAGAGGAGGCCATGATCCACATCAAGATGCTGCCGTGTGACCATACTGGAAAGTAGGTGGAGTTGAGACAGATACTTCTGTACTCCAGTGACATTGGTTTAATTATCACCACTGCAACAGCTTTCTTTCATACCAAGATGACTTTACTGTTCATATACTTGAGCATGTTTTTGTTTTTTTAGAAGATTGAAGAGAGCAAGTTCACTTTTGATTACAAAAAGTAAAAAAAATGTAGGACAGTGTTTTTTGGCAATTTTCTTTTGCATATTTGTAAAACAAAATAAAAGAAGGGAGAATATTATTTTAACTGCTATATTTGTGTATTTCAGAGTATTGAGTGATGACTCCCTGGTGCTAGATCCTGCAGAACTGATAGGGCACCCACTGGACTTTGTCTTTGTCATAGACCACTGTATGGGTGTGAAGTGGGTGAGAGGAAACAACCTGGCCAGAGGGGTGTACTGTGGGTAGGTACAGTGTGGGTGTGAAGTGGGTGAGAGGGAACAACCTGGCCAGAGGGGTGTACTGTGGGTAGGTGCAGTATGGGTGTGAAGTGGGTGAGAGGGAACAACCTGGCCAGAGGGGTGTATTGTGGGTAGGTGCAGTGTGGGTGTGAAGAGGGTGAGAGGGAACAACCTGGTCAGTGGGGTGTACTGTGGGTAGGTGCAGTATGGGTGTGAAGTGGGTGAGAGGAAACAACCTGGTCAGTGGGGTGTACTGTGGGTAGGTGCAGTATGGGTGTGAAGTGGGTGAGAGGAAACAACCTGGCCAGAGGGGTGTATTGTGGGTAGGTGCAGTGTGGGTGTGAAGAGGGTGAGAGGGAACAACCTGGTCAGTGGGGTGTACTGTGGGTAGGTATAATATGGGTGTGAAGTGGGTGAGATACTTTTATTTCAGCTTTTCCTAATTTATTGAACAAATAGGTACGATGATATTTTACTAGTCCTAATGTCAAGTTACATATTACCTGTACATTTCTCAAGCATGCTGCTGCAACTGAACTTGCAATGTTTCAGTTTCTCATGGGTCAAAATATGAACAGTTCTTCTGATGGAAATACTCTTTTCCTCTGACTAGGTTCCGATTCTTTGGACAGCCAGACCTGATCACTACCAAGACCATGTGGGGAAACAGCAATGCTAAGTTTCACTTCAAAAAACACTTTTCCATAGAGAAGGTGACCCCAGAGTTCCACGACTACCTGCAAACACACGCCATTATCATAGAGCTCTGGGGGACACAAGGTGAGCAGTGTCCTCTGCCAAAATGTTTAATTATATATTAATATATATAGTTTTGACAGGGACCTAAAATTATATGGCAATTAAAAGAAAATAATTTTATGAATTATTCTACAATTTCTATCTAAAAATTTTGATAATCATTTTTTAATATATTTTATTTAATAGGTTTAAAAGTAGTTCCATTTGATAAGGGCATGGCAATAAAAGAAAATAATTATAGTGAATTCTTTATTTTGCAGATTCTTTTAAGCATGTAAAGCTTTTTACATTGTTAAATGATGTTTTTGGTGGAGAGGATCTATGTGATTCTTTCAAGTGTTCATCTTTTCCCAATTTTGACTTCCAGTGGACCCTGACTCAGGCAGTGCTTCCTCCAGACCCAGCTCCGGCTCCCTAGCTGACCATACAGACGAGGTACATTGCAGATCAGTGGCAGATTTAAAGGGGGGATCAGGGGGGTACTGACCCCCCCTTTCGGTTTTCAAAAATATATCACACCAATATTCCCCTCTTGAAATTAGAATTTTGACTAGCTGAATCATAGTTCTAAACCATACCAAAGGGCACCGTTTGCCCACCAAAAGAACAAAAAAATTTCGGGGCTTTTAAGCAGTCCCCAAAACCCAATGCCATAGTGGAGATGGTCGGCTTTGCATCCGAAGCCTGTCATTCTGCCCCACCCCCCCTCCCTCAAATAATCCTGGATTGCTGGTGCAGACCACCTGCTCTGATCATCTTTGCTGGAAAATACACATCTTCTTTAAATCTTCAACTACTTCTTAAGTTATATGAACCAAAGCAGAAGATTAAGTACATTAGGAATTTCAAACATTTGATATTATTTTCGAATCAGTTTTAGGTTAAAAACTCGGCAAATTTAAATATCCCCTTTACATGACAATATAAAAGTCCCAATGTAATTTTTAAAAAAATAATTTTGATCGTGCTTTAGGATCCTGAGGTAGCTGAGCTCAGGAGAGTTCTTAAAAGACAAACAGAGGAGTGTGATCATCTAAGAGCAGCTTATCAGAAAGCTAAGAAAGAAAACTTCAAGCTGAAACAACAGGTGGAGAGACAGAAGAATGCACTGGAGCTGCAGAAACTAGGTATACAACTTGCTGCATATATGCCATTTTTTCTAAATATACACTACAGGGGCGGATTGAGGCTATCTTCTGGGTCTTCCTGAAGACAGTCAGATTTTCAAGTTTACACTGACGGGTATCTAATTTTTTTCTGTCGGAAGACGGTCAAAATGAAGGATTGATCAACAAAGATAATTTGGAAGGCTGTCATAAAATACCTCTGGATCCGCCCCTGCTTTAGCAATTATGTGGTTGTTTTAAGATTCTTTATTTTTTTAACTTTGGCATTATATAATATGTATATGTAACATAACCAAACAGCATTAAATATATGCAATTAATAATTGATACCAATTTGCAATTGGCTACACAAGTTTTTTTTAACTTTAAAAAGTTGTTCCTATTTGTTGTCAGATCATCAGGAGACCATTCCTCACCCTATGAACAGCCGCGTAGCTCACTTACAGCGAGATCAACATGGAGGAAGTCATGACTCCATCAACTCCAACTCCTCCACTGGTAGCAGCCATGAACCTCCTCCTCCTAAACATCCCTCCACCAGTTTAGATGCAGAGATTGCCAAGGGTCTTAAGGTCTTTTTCAAAGATGTCCGTCATGTTCAGAGGGGCTTAAAAAATGTGAAGGAGTTAGGTGAGAAAGTGGTGTATACATAATTTTGTTTCCAATTTAATCTTGAAACTGTTCGGAAGTTACTTAATTCTTTAAAAAAGCAGAATTGGTTTACTTAATAAAAATCATTTTCAGTTAAATAGCAATTTTTTATACATTATGAGAACTGTTCATAATTTGTTTGCATTTAATCGTGGTGTTAATATTTTCCAGGGACCACAAATAGTTCAGCAGATAATGGGAATGTGAAATCATTATTTGAGGAGCAACAGAAAGCACTTCATGACATAGATGAGCAGTTAAACGCTGCAGTGTCTGCTCTCAAAGTCACCGTCACCAGTGTTATCAAGAAGAAAAAACAGCAGACAGATCCTAGCTAGCACTCTCTACCTGTATGACATAATGCATAATACACTTTTCCCAAAATTTGCCTATAAAAATCTGATTTTTTCCTTGCAAAAAACTTGTGAAAGGGAAACAAAAACTGTTGCATAATTACTTGTTAGAACATTTCAGGGTGGACTAGCTGGTTCAGTTTAAGTGCTGCTCCGTGTGAAGATTATCAGTGTTCTTGTGCAAGGTTATTTTATCTTGTAAAATGGTTAATTTATAGTAATTTACTCTGGAATCAAACATTATACATAGCTGGAGATGATGTCAATTATTTTTCTGTTATTTATTTATTTTTGATTTATCTATTTATTTATATCAGTAGTACATTTAATACTAACTACTTATCAGGTATTTTAATAAGAGCATCTGTTATTGTACCAGCGTGAAAAAAGAAACACTTTTAGGTAAAGATTATTTTTACTGCTAGGAGATTTTTACAAGCAATTAAGAATCAAAATTTCTGAGCATTTTATTTTATTTTATGAATTCATATTTATCTAATCTAGACCCGATTTTTTTACTTCAAAACGTTTGTTTTGCTAGAAAATGTGATCCTTTTAACAATGGATAATTTGATCAAGGTGCCAAAATAACTTGCCGCTACAGTATAAATAAAGCCAGGGTAAACAAGGAAAATATAAATTACAAGCAACTGTGATAAACCCCATGACACTGTTAGCTAAGGGTAATGCTTGTTCTACGACAATCATTGTAAAATATTCAATAAACATGAAAATAAAGTATAAATATTTTCCTGTTTGTTACATGTACTTACTTCATAAAGAAATTAACTGGTCTAGCTAATGCCCACTAACTCCACAGGGACTCTTGCTGAATGCCGTCAGATTAACAGACAAACACGCCTGAGTATTGAATATAGAAAGATGGTGATTGTACAAGTGCATTAGGAACAAGCAGCTAGAAAAAAAAAACGAACATTTAAAACTTCCCTGAAACGCATGCAAGCTACACTAGTTTTATTAAAAAAACTAGAACGCATTATATACTGATATTGTTGCAACGCAAAACACTTATTAAATTTTTATTAAATATCTATTTACTCGCTGGTTTCCAAACGATCGATTTTACGTTAACTACAATGGAATATGAATCAGGTAGGCCTACTTGAGTAGTTGCTCGCTGATAAAGATCGATAAAGTCGCAATTGACGCTAGAAAATCACTTTGATGGTCATTTTCCTGTGCTAAATTCCTAATTAAATGTCATTAAACAGTTGTCACACGTATCTGTCCAAGGGTATGCTTGCCTTTAACGACCGTGCTTTTTGGCACATTTGTAAATTACCTGCAGGGACCGCGAGGAGCCTCGTTTTGGATAAAAGTAAACAGGTGTGACAGGTAGTCCGCTAGGAACTGTTGTCCGTTCTCCAACACTTTGTACAGGTGACATTCGTCTCATATACTAACCCCTTATGCTCCAACTAACCCTAACCTAGCTGTACTGATCATATCGGACTCCGGACTTCCATTCCTAGGACCACCTTTCCTGTCAGGGCATGAGCCGACCCCCCCCCCCCCCCACACACACACCTCTCTCACCTGTCACACCGGAAACACCGACTGTAAGAGTGTGACTTGACTGAGCATGCTATAAACAACTATTTTCAACTCACAATGTACATCTAGTGGAGTGGAAATATAGGACCTTTCTCATGTTGCAAACAGAAGAAAAGTCACAAGAAAAAATGTGGACAAGACGCAGACCTAAGAGGACTTTCGTTTTACACGCATATGGGTTGTCTTTGAGGCGGATCGTAATATGTACACTCATAGTGCTTGGTCTCTGGTACTTGCTGAGGCCATATTTTAGAATCAATCGCGGTCCCTTGGGTCTGCGTGCTCACGACAAGACGCTGTATTTAGATGGCGAACCTTTCAAACTGCTGAGTGGCGAAGTGCATTATTTTCGGGTCGTGCCAGAATACTGGAAACATAGCTTGTTAATGGTGAAAGCTGCGGGCCTTAACACTGTTTCAACGTGAGTACACTGTGTACACGGTGGCCGTAGCGATAGTCCGAAGGTTCATTGGTCCGAATGTTCACTATAGAACATTCGGACCAATGAACCCTTGATTAAAAAATCGATAAAAATGTTACCGCTTTTCGGACCAATGAACCTTCGGACTATCGAGACGCCCCCACACGGTGTACCAGGAATGGATGTCCGCTAGGAACCATAGTCCGCTTCCCATTACTTTGTACAGGTGACATTCGTCCCATATACTAACCACAGTATACTCCAACTAACATTACAGGTGTAACTTGTACTAATCATATAGGAGCCTGGACTTCCATTCCTAGGACTGCCATTCCTGTTACACCTGTATATAAATTAAGAAGGGGAGATGGGAAGGGTTGATAGGTGTTAATTAGGCAGGTAAACTGACCTGAAATGAAACCTGTAGTATAACAATAGGAAATCGTTTGAAAACGCTTTACATTTTTTTATCATTTCAATATCACAACTACATGGTACCAGAGAATTATATCTATTATAACTAAGATATAATTACCTGACTGTACTACTAGTACTTTAGTGTTTTTAAGTAGTTGGATCATTAATTTAGATGTAATATAGATTTAATATCTATCAGGAGAGTTGTAGAGTGTGGACTGAAATGGCTTGAGCTAGCAGTTGATGCATGACCCTCCCATCAGGTCACGTCACGCCATCTTGCAGCTTCTTTTGTTTGCAGAGTAGCACACGGATGTGACCCAGATATTGTTGCCTGCAAAACAATAACTGCCTATCGATATCAAAGTTGTTTGTTCCCCATCCCCCTGTGTTGTGGAGGATTTTTAAAATGTTACCACATCACAAGCTGTAAAGAAAAACTATTTTTTTACAACTCATATTCTTCTGCTATATCTTGTTTGACAAGAAATCAATGCTTACATCAAAACTGTTATTTACTATTTTTGCTTATTTATACTATTTCTTAATAAAATATCTCAACTTCAAAATATCTATGATAATAATCAAAGATATGTACATGTAGCTTGAAAAGATATATAAAACGTGTACATCATGCGAGGAATTGAATATCATTATACCTGACATCGGATCCCAATGTTAATTAGCAGTCCTCCACACAAAACTTATACTGGAATTCATAATTAATAGTCCTGTACATAGAAGTTGAATTAAAAACTGATCTTTGTATCACTTGGCTCCTTTGTTCCAGGTATGTACCATGGAATTTACATGAAGAAATTAAAGGGAAATTTAATTTCAAGGATGGCCTGCTAGACATCGTGTGAGTATGGAATAAAAAGAACTGTTATATACCAGCCAGCATGATAATGATTCAATCTTTTCAATGGGGAAAAGTTATCAATCTTTCAGATACATAATTTTGGAATCATTAAAAATATATTTTTGTGTAGCATTTGTGGTGCTTTTACTTTATAGAATAGAAATACAAGGTACATGTAGATTGCTTTTCAGTCTTGTTGCTACCATGCAAGCAGAATTTTCTAATTTCAGGAATTTAGGACTTCAAAAATACAGTATCTTTAAAATTCACCCCCCCCCCCCAACTGAAAAGATACAGTAATTACTGCATAAAAATGTTGCCATAGACTGCTGTGCATGAGTCCTCATAGGTGAAAGAATACCTGTTCAGGGTTTGGTGCATGTATGAACTGAATGTAAATAAGACAAACAGATCTTAAAGTTTCAATCAAGAACAGTTAGTTCACAAAATTGATGAATCATATGATCATGTAAAACTCTTAAACTAAATCCAATCTTTCAACAAAGAAAAAAGAATTGTCACATAACATAAAAACCCAGTTTAAAGTTTATTTACACACTCTTTTATTTTTAATTTTTTAGTATTATGACAGCTCCACGTAGTCATACACAACAACTAAAATCAAAATCTGGAACTACACATGTAATTTACAGATATATATATTTTATGTATCTTTGTCTTTTTCATGTTGAAGACAATATTTGGAGCTGGCGCAAGAAGTTGGTTTGTATGTAGTGCTGAGACCTGGCCCGTACATCTGTGGGGAATGGGAGTTTGGTGGCATGCCCAGGTGGGTGCACTATCTGTAAGGAATGGGAGCTTGGTGGCATGCCCAGGTGGGTGCACTATCTGTAAGGAATGGGAGCTTGGTGGCATGCCCAGGTGGGTGCACTATCTGTAAGGAATGGGAGCTTGGTGGCATGNTGATATATTTTGTACATACATATGATTATATATATTTGTAATCAAATATTCAGTCTTTACGTAAGTTTTATAAAAGTGTTCCGTTTCCACTTTGTATTGTCTATAAAGTTTCATTTAACTGTAGTTTGCATCTTGAAACTTTAGATTATATGCCTTTGATATTAAGTCAAATGTCAATAATTAAAAAGACTTTCATTTATATTATATGATATAGTAATTATTGCCCTCTCTGTTTCAGTCCTTGCTGAAGTATGGTGTGGAAGAACTAATGTTAACTGCTGACCCAGCAGAACATTTAGAGAAGGGAAGTCTGCCTGGAGGTAATGTTTTTAATAGGCCACAGTGGCCCCATTCAGAATGAGAAGAGCCGAGTGCTAGCTAGGCCATGACCTAAATATGGCGGACCTACATGAAAGGAAGACTGCTTAATCCTGTAATGGTCTCTCCGCCTCTCACATGCCTCCCCATGCGTCGTCCCTGCAGGGGCACAGTAATTAAATCTCGGCTCGATTTAACCGGTTGAGGGACGACATGTGGGGAGGCGTGTGACCATTTCAGGATTAAGCGGACTTCCTTTCATGTAGGTCCGTCATATTTAGGTTGTCGCCTAGCTAGCACTCGGCTCTTCTCATTCTGAATGGCCTGTATCATACTTTCTTAACTGTACGATATGCCTTCTTGAGCAGTTAAGGGTGGATTAACCTTGGTGTGCTGCTAGAGTAGGCATGTCATTCAGTTAATCTGATTGCATTCAGCAAGAGTCTCCACGGAGTTGGATTGATCTACCTAATACGATAGCTTCATTGTGAATGCCCCCTTAGTAGGTGATAATCTTATGCTGGTGGTAAATAGCATGAAGTTTAAGAATATTGTTTTCTCTAAATACAATATCACTTCAATAGTGCTATGAATTACAAATATAATCTATGAATAATTCTTCATGAATATGAAATTGATTTATCAGTGGTATCATTGTGGCAGACAATGAACATTATAAAAAATGTTTTAAAATGTCAGCAAGGTGACTTGATACACTGTAGATATTTAAAATTAAATTTGATTTATTATTTTCAGTTTTACCCACTGCGACCTTTAACACAATTAGTAGAGGAGAGTTAGCATTTAAGAATATTGCTGCTTTGAGCCCTGAATGGCCATTGGTTACCATGGAGTTCTGGCCGGGATGGTATGATGTATGGGGAAGCAAACATAACACTATGAAAGATGAAGGTAATGTCTAACTGGGTGTCTGTGTGTCTGTCCATCTGTCTGTCTGTAGTTGTCCAGTCCATGTTTTCACATCTGCAAATATGGTCGTATGGGTTTGTTTGTGTACAGTGCTTATGTGTTTGAAATACCTGAATGGTGTCAGTTGTCTAAATTGGGGTTCCATTTGTACACTGTGCACAATTTCATGCTATGTGATAACAATTAAGTTCATGTTATTATTGTTTAAAAAATTAAAACTTGCCAAATTTCTAGTTTCTGTATTTGGACTGGGACCAGTATTTGGTAACAACAGAAATCATTAAAAACAAAATTAAACAGTTTTTATTCATTATATATATTTAAGCACACAAAAAGTAACTTTTTCTCTAATATCCCAAGGTTCACTGTAGCTGGCAATGTAAAATCATGCAAAGTCACTATATAGATACGTCATTGTTTAAATATGCCAGTCTGCATACCTTTACTCATATTTATTATCAGTGCCATAAATTGATCTATCTGTTTACAGAAATGGAGGCAGTGTTGTCATTTATCTTGAAGTCTGGATCATCTGTGAATTTCTACATGTTTCATGGGGGAACCAACTTTGGCTTTATGAATGGTGCTTACTACCCCAGCTATGTTGCAACAGTCACAAGTTATGGTAAGGTGATCACATCTTTTAGGGCCTGTCCTTATGAATTTATTGACCAAGCTACTGCATTCTTACTCTATATATATAGGAACTCTTGCTGAATGCAATCAGATTAACATGCCTCCTCCAAGAGTTAACTGTATCACTAGTATATTCAGAAAAGCAGACGATTATGTATGTTGGGAACAAAAGGAAATGTGTCGCTCTCTTTTTTCTGATTGCACTCAGCGCGAGTCCCTGGGAAGTTAGTGTGCAGTAGCTAGATCAATTAATTCATTGTGACCTGGTCCTTAAGTTTTCTAACACACCTTTTTCAATTAATAAACACTCATATCAGTCAAATCATATTCTTTGATGTCTCCATTTTGGATAAGCATAGAAGCAATTATGATAGAAAATTGAAAATAGGACATTGAAAGATTTCATACAGTGGAGTACAGAAAAATGTACTAATTAGAATTTTTTCTGCCAAGGGAACTGTTTGTGAATTTTTTTCACTCTGTATGTTTTTTATATGCACCCTGTCATCATCAACGTGGAAGACTGTGTGTTTTTCTACTGTATAACTTTGATTTTATTAAAACCAAATGATGAAAAGTGAATTAATGGCCATACATGCATTGAAGACTTAACCAATTCTCATCAACATACTTCATGTATTTTAGATTATGATGCACCAGTTAATGAACAGGGTGAAGCCAACACTAAGTTCACTAAGATTATAGAAACACTTTTCAAAAACGTCCCAGAATCAGGTGAGAAAAAAGTTTAAAAAATGAAAAATTACAGGTAGGTAAACGAAGCAGCACAATTTTTATATTTTTTTCCTTAAAATATTTGAATCAGATTTTTTGTGGAAAGTGTTCAAATAATTAGGAATTCTGCTATTCCAGTGTTTATCTAAATAAGTTACATGTAGAGTTATTTGCTGGGTAAATTTTTAAAGTTATAATTACAAATTAATGACATATTCCATTTAAAATTGCATTGTGCCAAATAAGGAATGTTTTAAGTGCTGTAAAATTTGATAAAAGTTATAAGAAATGTTGTTGGCTGCACCAGTTATAAGACATATTGTACAGTAAAACTAACAAGAAAAAGTACGATATTTTTAAAATTAAAAGATAAGTGAAACATGCATTTAGAGTATAAAAAGAAAAATAATAAAAGATTATATACTGTGTATACATGTAATTTAAAAGTAATGCTTCTTGTTTAGCAAACTTCAAACATTTTCAACTTTTATTATTCCCAGTGTCTTCCACCTTACCACCCATACCACCTGCCCACCCTGTGGAGGCATATGGTAAGTGGGGCATCTTGTGACTGGCGCCCTCTATCACAGCGTGCTGTACACTTTTGTTATGCTTCATTTTGAGCTATTGGCCTGGCTAGTATGTAAAAGAGTCACCTTGGCACACATGCATGCACGCATGCATGCACGCACGCACGCATACACACACACACACACACACACACACACTTGACATGGTCAGTTAATGGGATTAATTTTGATTGGTCCAAATAGTTGAAAGCAAACTCGTGAAAGGGAATTAAACCCTGGTAGCATTAGAGAGTTTCTGGTGCAGTTGGGATACGATGGCTAGATTGTTACGTATGTGCTAATGTATCCAGTAACGCGCTTCTCTCATCGCGTTCCGGTAATGTCCCGGAATGCTGGCGCTCATTCCAATATAATAATAACAATATACGGCCCCGTAGCTATCTATTTCCAAGGGGGGGGGATTCTTTTTTATGAAAAAGGAGACAAATATTACCCAAAAGTGCAATTTTTCCCGACAAAAATGGCGGTTCATAAGAACCCGACGATCAACCCTCGACTACGTGCCTGATAAACCAAAACTAGCGGCTCCTCTCTGTTAAAAAGTCGAAATTTGCATGAACGTACACTTGAACTTTTGTAAAAAAGTATATAAGTCATATAAATTAGCAAACACAACCTTTAATACGTATTTTCAATAATCTTCCGCACTGGCTAGATAGGAGCGCTTGTATTCTGCAGACTAGATGGGATAACGGTATATGAATGCGGTGAACAAGTGCGCACAAACCGATGACGTATTAATCTAGCCGGCGTATCTCACTGGCAACGGAAACTCTCTATTGTCACACATGAAGGACTAGTTACCATGATGCAAAAAAAATAAAAAAAATCACGTCGGCACAGTATGAAAAGAGGTTTATATAAGTACTTCATCAGGACTTGTTGGTTGTTTGCTAGGTACTAGTATGTTTTTTCTGCTTTTGCAGGTACTCTTGAAATTGAAAAATATTTACTTTTGGATGACATGGTAAAACGAATGAAGGTATTTTGCACTTTTTCGGCTTTCATATTAATCTTAATTTATGGTTTTCCTTAAGTTGCCCACAGTGAACTCTAGATTAATTCTATTTACTTTATTTTATATTTATTTATTTATTTGGTGTGCATTACTAAAATAACAGAATGTGAAATTTGGCATTGAGTAAAAGTTGCTGTGATGACAACTCCAGTTTAACCCCTGTCATTTGCAGGCTATATATGGCATAGAAGCAGTCCCCATGGAGTTTCTCGGTCAGGTTAACAATGGCGGAGGACAAGGCTATGGGTTTATTTTGTACAGGAAAGAAATTACCAAAGGTGGAAAACTAAAATTTTCTGACACTGTCAGAGATAGGGCTGTGGTAAGTGACTACATATATTGTTTATGTCAAGTTGACGTATTTTTAAGTACAAATGAATGATAAAAATTATAGTATTTATCAAAAGGATGTGCTTAAATTTTGCTTTATCTATTTGACAAAATATATGATATTCATTGATAGTACTCCTGCTGTTTCTGGGGGAAAATTCTTTTGTTTTATTTTGCAAGGTGAATTATTTGCCACACATACTATGGCAATTAAGCAAAATATTTCTCATCAGTTTTATATAATATAATTTGATATAAATTGGCATGAAAACCTGATTTTACTTGAATTTTCCCATGTGATGCAAATTTTGCCATACTTGAAAATGTTCCAAGCATTTAACATGAATTCTAATACATATTTAGAATATAAATTCTTGTATTCTTTAAGAGAGAAGCTAGTATAAACTGGTAATTTTGTAAATTGGGAATGTTAAAAGCTGTGATGATTTTTTGGTTTATTCCATCCCTCTATGTCATTTTTAGGTCCTTCTGAATGGGACAGAGATTGCCACTTTTAACTTGAACAAGAAAGACATGGTGGTGGCGATAAAGGGGCCAAATAAGCCACAGAACAAGGTGACTGGAATAATTGGAGTGTCAAAGAATATTGTAACATGTTACAGAAACTAAAACCAAATGCAAATGGTTTATTCAGTGCTGTAGCCAGAGTGAGCCATTGAGTGTAATGTAATGAGTGATTGAATACTTCATATGTACAGCTGAACAAATAGGTATCCTGTGCTCGACTAAAAACGCAATAATGCAAGTATATCTATTCATACAGGGGCGGATCCAGATATATTTTCTGACAGTCTTCCAAATTATCTTTGTTAATCCATCCTCCATTTTTGACCATCTTCTGACAGAAAATATTAGATACCCATCAATGTAAACTTTAAAATCTGACTGTCTTCCGGAAGACCCAGAAGACGGCCTAAATCGGCCTCTGTCATAATTCTTCGGGAACATAACCATGCATTATGATTAATAATTTGTAACCATATTAATACAGTCAGCTGTGGTCATGTGATGTATATCACAGTCCAGACTTGTAAACTTATGCATGGTTAGATTATTAAGTTTTTGTTTGTTTGATCATTCATTAACTTGTTCAATATTTTTTTATTTTATTCAGTTCAGTTTATAGTCTTTTGCTGTTATTACTTGTAATATTTGAGTTTCAATCTTTTGTTAAAAAAAGAGCAAAATTTCACAGTTGAAATATTTCTGGTTAATCATTTCAAGGGAAATGTTAATTTTTTAATGTTTTTTCCTCGTGCATATTTTCAGACAATTTATGTTTTAGATGTATTAGTTGAAAATATGGGCAGACTCAATAGCATGGGATATTATAATGGAACAAAAGTACCATTTGAGAGTCAAAGGAAAGGTACAGTATTCTAACATGAGTTTTTTCACCTTAAAGATGCATATGAAGTCAGTTTTTTTGCCACAAAAGCCGACCAAATGCCAGCATACAGTTTCAAGAAGTATAACTAAGAGAATAACAAAAGGCATTGTTTAATCTTAAACGAAAGACGATCGATATTTGAACAGATATTTCTGCTAGCATTCTATGCTGTACATCAATGAGGCAGAAAAGTACATGTACCCTGTAGATCGGTAGGTTTAAATTTCTGACCAAAAAATTAAAAGAAAGGAGCAGTCTGAATCTCTTTTATGACTGATCGAGTAATTTATTCAGTTTATCCCTTGACATGTTGAATTTATTTGAGTTGTATAAGAAACTAGTAGAAGTGGTGTATGTATGTTACTGGAAATCCATGCTCCACCAATGCTCAGTTCATATGTAATAACAGAGTTTTTACCAGTAATTTATTTGATATGGTATGATTGAATGATAAAATTTAATATAAGTAATAACTGTAAAATAATGGAAGTAATTTGGATCTTATGTGCACCAACATGTACTGGTACTAGTACAGTGTATGAAAAGTGTGACATGTATCTATAATGTATAAACCATACATTGATGAGGTATATGTCTTAGCTATGAACTGCTGTGAGTCATGAGCAGGGGCAGTATTCTCAAACGTTTTTGACGTCGAATTTTTTCGTCTTCGAATCGATTTTGATGAAAAAATTTTCAATAGCTTCGAGAATACCGTTTTTTTTGGATTCGATTAAGATTCGATGAAAAAATCATATTTGATAGCTTCGAGAATACCGGCCCATATGTCAAATGGTGCAGTGGTGCACCTGATTCATCTTGGTCAGCCCTGGAGCCACGGGAGTTTGAGCGAACTGTCCTTTTTTGCAGGGAAAGGTTTGTTCTCAGTAAAATTTGGTCCAAGTACACGGAAGTTTCTTGAAAAAAGGCCTCTTTTTCAGAAAAGGACCCCCCCTTCCCCACTTTGAAATTGATGGCAATGGGCCAGGTGATGTTTATGCTATGGCAGATGTGCTGTAAGCCACAATAGTGTGACATACATGCCCACATGAAACAAGTTCCACTATGCCCACCATGTCTGCATAGCATCTTTTTAGACATCTGCCACGGAATATGTTTTGCCCATTTTGTGAAACGTTTCAGAGACAATCACTTCAATTCATTCCAGGTATAACAAGCACAGTTTACTTGGATGAAGCAGTGCTGATAGACTGGGATCACTATCCACTGGAGTTCAGGAAACCATTCCTAACAAGGTATAAAAAAAGATACATTCTAATAAAATAGCATACAAAATTTATTATAAAATAAGACACAAAATTACAATAAAAAAGGATATGAAACTCACCCAATAAACTCAATTGTGATTTTGAAACTACCTGCCCCTGAAATTGTGGCGTTGAGTGTATTCACTCAGTAATCACTCCTGCTTGACAAAGACAGGGATGTGCACTATACTCAACCCAAAGGTGTGAAATCCTCCTCCTCCTCCCCCCCCCCAAAAAAAAAAAAATGTCAAAGAGTATGTCTGTTAAGGAATGCTTTCCTGTTGAGCATCTCGGTTCCCACAGGGTCCAATACAATAATTATGTAAAAGAATTAATTACAGCTTCGGAAGCAACTGGCTCGCCAGTAATTACGCCGCGGGATATTCAGGGCACAGGGACCGTGATTACAAGATACTGCGAATAGAAAATAGATTTTTAGAAAATAGACTTGCCATGTGAATGGAGTCCTAGTGTACTAGGCACCCTGTGGTCAGAGAGTATTACATATATATCATGCTCACTGAAGATATATTAGATCAAGATGGTAACCTAGATATACAGTAACCGTATACATAAATTAACTCTGATTATATTCATGGCTTATACAGTAAACGTATGCATAGATTAACCTTGGTTACATTCATGGTCTTAAGCAATGGCTATATATGTATATCCTTATTGTCTCTAAATCATGGATTGTGCTCATGCTGGCCAAATGAACAATTGCAACTGTCCTCTGTCTCATAAATGAATTATGTATAATTCTATCTTAAATGCCCTATTGTGGCTCTTCACTGTATATAAGGCCCAGTAAACTCAAGGGTCAGTAGAGAGAGAAAGAACAGAAATAATAAAGGTGCCGTCTGGATCTACTTGGCTGTTGTCGTCATTTATAAATACCCCATGTTCATCACATATATCAGGCCCGTAGCCAGCATTTCCAAAGGGGGGGGGTCTTTTTCTGAAAAAGTGGACCTTTTACCATATAATCCCCATGTACCTAGGTCAAATTTTACCCAGAGTGGACCTTTTTCCAGAAAAAAGGGGGGTTCTTTCAAACCCCCCGAACCCCCCCTGGCTACGGGCCTGTATATAGATACATTATGATTCAGGAAAGTATATACAGGGGCAGATCCAGAGCTTTTTACTGACAGTCTTCCAAATTATCTTTGTTGATTCATCCTCCAATTTTGACCGTCTTCCAACAGAAAAATTAGATACCCGTCAATGTAAACTTGAAAATCTGACCGTCTTCCGGAAGACCCAGAAGACTGCCTAAATCCGCCCCTGATATACATTATAGGTACATGTATACATGTATATATACCAGTATGTATATAAAGCCTATGTGGCTATCATGTCTTGCCCACCAATGTTGTAGTAGTATCTATAACTCAAAACACCACTGCATACCTACTTTCATTCTTATACATGTATGGGGTGACACAATTTAAATCTGACTCCCTGGGCTGTTATAAAGTGTATACCCAGTAATAATTAAATTTATGCATTTTCTCAGAGGCTCACTAAAGAAGCATTATATAAATTTTGTTATTTTAAAGCAAACTTAAGAATGAAATTAAGTGTCATTTGTCTAGACTTGGCACTGGAGGGAGACATGAAAGAATAGTTTTCAAGTTTGATTAAATTGAGGTAAAATTTTCTCATGTTATATTGATATACCAGACAATATAACATGGGATAATCTCACAGTCAACTAAACAATATTTAGTCTAGTTCTGGTATGAATGGGATTTTGTCATAATGAACCTGGTAGATGTGTTTAATATGTGTTTCATTACAACTGCAGTATGTTGTCATCTGGAGACTGGTCCCCCTACAAGGATGT